CTCTCTCTCTCTCTCTCTCTCTCTCTCTCTCTCTCTCTCTCTCTCTCTCTCTCCCTCTCTCTCTCTCTCTCTCTCTCCCAACACACTCTGTGATTGTCCACTTGTTGGGCCCTTGTGTCTGAGTCAGTGGCTGACCATTTGATCCTTTAGGTGTCTCTCGCACTTAGTTCCCAGCGGTCTTGGAGTTCGTTAGCGTCTGGGTCCGAGGAATCCGAAACTTGCTATCTTGCGCGGAGCACGGAATTTGGCTCATTGTCAAGAAGCATTCTTCAAAGTGAAGGTACGACAAGTAGAGCGATGCTCCAAGTAAAGTGGTGCTCCTGCCTGGCTCGTAGCTTCTAAGGTGCGGAAAACAAAACGGTCCTCATGATTATGGTAGATGCAGTTGTGTAACTGCTGCAAGGTTGTATGCGTTTCCCAATTTCTGAAATGTATTGCATCCACCAACCCAACCTTTTGGACATGTATTGCATCCACTATTATTTGAAGACTGTTTTGTGGGATTGATCTTGTCGATGGCATCCTCCCAATGTCTTCATGGTTCATCTTGTCATTGGTTTGCTGGCTTTGTGACTTCTAACGATGTCTTCTTTGGGATCTGGAGCACGGCTGGAGCTTGCTTACAGTTCAGGCAACAGCGACGGACTTGCTCGATATTTCGCCCCTATCCACATAGCAGATAGCCGATTGTTCGAGTGTTTGCCTTCCAAGGCGAAGGTTGCGCGTTCGATTCTTGCAATCGACTGGTGAGATGCTTTCCTAGCGAGGAAGTTTCCTCGTCATTTCTGACGAGGAAAGAAAGAAATAGGAGATGACGAGGGAACTTCCCCGATATCTTCTATTTCCTTTGGGATCGATATCGATGAGATATACATCGAGGAAGTCTGTTGCTGTTGCCTGAACTGTACGCAAGCTCCAGCTGGGTTACACATGCTGATGAAGAAGATAACGGTGAAGAAGCAGATAGGATGCAAATGGATGACAAAATCAACCATGAAGAAACTCCGGAGGATGATATTAACAAGATTGATCCCAAAAGAAGTAGTGATATTGAGGAGGAAGTCTGCTGCGCTCGTCTCTGAGCAAGCTCTGGCCGGCCTACAGATGCTGAAGAAGACAATGGTGAAGAAGTTGAGTGGTGGTGAAGAGGTCGAGTGGTGGCAAATGAATGACAACATCAACCACTCTATCTTCCCCTGGTGAAAAGTATGGCAGCTGTTTATGTAGGCTGGACCTCGAGGTGGGGGGGAGTTCGTCTTAGAGCCGTGGTTTTAGGGCCTGCGTAGATTATGTTGAAGTAGTAGTGCCGTTATAGGCACAAAGTTATTAGATGGGTGCTCTGACATCGTGAATGAATGGAGTCCCTATTAACCTAATTTTTTTTGCCCGCAATATTTTGGTCTTGATGGGCACAATGGTCGGGCTGTTGCCAGCGTCAAGGGGTTGTTCCTGGCAGCTCGGCATGTGCGTTCTCCTCGTTGATCTCGATGGACACAAGATTTGAGCCGAGTCTCTCGTTGATCATGTCGTTAGAGAGTGGCAGTATCGAGTGGTTGGTCCTAGGGTCCTGGTTGTTCCACATGCTGGTTTTCCTGTATACGTCACTCTTGTGTTGGAGAGAGCAGCAGAGATGTCCTTCAACCTGCGCAAATATCCTCCATTTGATTTTTAGACAAATTGAGTGTCGGACTGGTATAGCGGGTCAGCAGTACATGTGGCATACTGGTCGCACTGAGAGTCTCTCAGTGGCGATACGAGTACACTGTTGTCATTTTAATAGGCTGCTGGGGTATGGAAGTGAAATCTGATCTAGGCTTGTTCAGGTGGCCTGTTTATAGTGGCTGGCTTGTACAGCGTGGGGCTAGCAATGGATGCGCCTGGTTTCTGCAAGTGATCTTTATCTTGGTGTACCAATATTTATCGAGGAGCTGCGGAACTGTTTCTTCCATTGCAGGCAGAATAGTCACAGGTGGTCATCCTGAGTCGGTGGGCATGTGCGTGTGCAAAAGAGAGAGAGAGAGAGAGAGAGAGAGAGAGAGAGAGAGAGAGAGAGAGAGAGAGAGAGAGAGAGAGAGAGAGAGAGAGAGAGAGAGANAGAGAGAGAGAGAGAGAGAGAGAGAGAGAGAGAGAGAGAGAGAGAGAGAGAGAGAGAGAGAGAGAGAGAGAGAAAGAGAGAGAGAGAGAGAGTCTGGCAGTACTAGACCTGCTCTGTGGCTCTGTAGTCATGTTCGTGCCTGGGAATGAGGATTTCATGGTTGCCTTCCACTTCTCGCGTTTTTTTCTGTGCATCTGTTGCCACATTCTGTGTTGTGCGTGTGCATGTCCCTTGTGTAAGATTGTGTATCTTGTGCATGGGGTGCCTTTTGTGCATCTGTAAATACTAAATATGCTTTGGAAGTTTGAATGGGCATTTTCAAGCATGCTCTGTGTGTGTATGGAGGATGAATACGCGAATATGCTTTGTATGGGCATTTTCGAGTATGCTGTGTGTGTGCGGAGGGTGAACGTTGTACAATGAGTGGGCATACACCTCTGTGTGTGTGTGTGTGTGTGTGTGTGTGTGTGTGTCTGTGTGTGTGTGTGTTGTTTTGGGCTTATAAATTATCTGCAAAAGTGCTGTGGCATGATGCATTGAGACGTGCACACTGTGACAAAAATCACGAAAGTGACAAAACCCAAAAACAGGCACACCACGAATCAAACCAAGTAGCATAAGCATGCAGAGACCCAGCTTTGTCGCGCCTAAGAGCCACAATATTCAAATGCCACGTAAGCGAAAAGAATGAAGGAGAGAAAGGACAAGTACCAAAAACAACAAGAGCGAAAAAATAAATAAATTAGATCTGATAATGATAGATTGTTGGAGATGCCTATATCACCCTCCCCCTCTAGCAGCAGATCGACGCTGGGGTTTTCAGGGGAAAAAAAAAAAAATAGTTTTGTCGGACTTGCACAGGCTGCATCCGCTGCATCCTCTTCAATCTGCAGTATCCCCGTATTGATGCTTCGGGTCATGAAACCGTGGACCCTCGTCGAAAGCAGACTGCCCACAGTGGAACACAGCAGCAGGCAATAACTCAGCGATGCAGCAGGCAGTGCTGCCGCCGCATTCCAGTTTAAACACCAAACGAACTGCATGGGACAACAGCACATTTGGACGAGCAGCAGGGCAACAGCGCCGCAAAGCGCAAGGCAACACGACAAAGCAGTGACACTACACAGCGCACGAGCGAAGGACAGGGAAAAAAAGGTGACGCACGCGGATGGATGGGCAGCAAGGCAACCGTGCAGTTAAGCACAAGGCAACACCAGCGACGCAGCCACACCATGGCAAGCACACACACCAGTAGGCAGTAGCAAAGTGCGACCACGGGAACGGCGGGAAGGAAGTGGGATGGGCAGCAAGGCAGCAGTTGAGTGCAGACACGCGTGTCCACACATCCAACGCGATGCAGAGCAGTTTGTCACCTACCACACACCACAAGTGAACCGCGCAGACTGTTGGTTCTCACCACCTGCTGAGCCCGGAAGCCACTTCGATGGACATCCATAATCACCCATAGACTGGATGCATCATAGACATCAGGAACATACCGGCCCTCCATTAATAGTCCTGCAGGCTCTCTGAACACCCATGCACTGACTGTTTAGCACTTGTTTAGAGGCGCACATACGGTGTGCATGTGCATGCATGGGTGGGTGGTTGGATGGCTGGACTGGAGAGCGTGCGTGTGTGTGCGTGTGTGGGTGGATGGGTGGGTCAGTGACCGAGTGAGTGAGTGTGTTTGTCTTTTTGTCTGTCTGTCTGTTTGTTTGTTTCATGGGTAAAGACTACTTTTTCTTTTTTTTTGTAAATTTGGACCATTTTCTCAATTTATGTGTGTCATCCTCCGGCCATGCTAATCTTCTCTGTATCCTTCCAGTTTTAACGGATGTCCCGAAAAGGACATAAAGACTACATTTCTTTCTGTCTGTGCATGGGGAAATTCAGTTTGAATATTGAAGTGAATGCTAATGTAGGGGTGGGTTTTGTTCGTTAGGCCGTGAAGTCGGGATACCATGATGATGTTACTCTAGGTGGGGACAGTGTGAAGTCGGGATAGGTACAATTTTTAAGGGGTGCACAGCACTCATTTCAAGAAGGTAGTTCTTTAGAAGCAGCCAAGAATAAGTGATGAGGTGAACCGTCGGGCCTTCTTCCAGGGAGCGGTACAGAACAGGGAATAGGTCTACATTACGATGGTTAATGCCAAAATGGTGTACATGTGTGGTTGGCTTGCCCATGACAATGACCAAGCATCTTGCAGACTAGAACAGAAACGGAGCAAGACGATGTCCCCAAAAAAAAAAGAAAAAAAAAGAAAAAAAAGGAAAAAAAAGAAAAAAAAGGAAAAAAAAGGAAACAAAGAAAATAAGCGAGGCTACCAGCCGGGCCGCGCGGGTCCCGGGTGGCCAGCCCGTGCAAGGACCAGGGAAGGTCCAAAAAAAAACTATGTTATGCAGAAAAATAAACTGAACAACTTTTGCCTCAGGGTCACATCGAAATTCTTCACCAAACTTAAAATAAAAAATACAATTTAAAAATATTGTTTTATTTTTATTTTTTTTGGCCCGGCCGGGCAAGTGACCCCAGGCCACTCTGGTAGCCTAAAAAAAAGGAAAAGAAGGGAAAAAAAAAAARAARAAAAAAAAAAAWAAAAAAAAATGGAGCGCAAGATGACGTCCACARAAAAAAAAAAAAAAAAAAAGTGGGCCTCAACTGTTGGTAGCTCGAAAGTCGTGGCCAAAGACCTTGATAGTCTTCCAGCATCACGAGTCCATAACTGAGCTTCACCAGGGCTGGGGATTCATTTCATATTTCATGTCAGCAGAAGCACTGCTGTGCAAGACACACAGGATTTATCCCTGTGTGCGCTGACACACCGCTGTCGGCGGTTTTGTCAGTCTGACATCTGTCCTGTGTGCCCTGGCAAAACCAATGTGGGGCCCTCATGTGCCACCACAAAGCACTTTTGCGCAAAGCACATGGGCTCTGTCCCTGGGCGACTCGACAACCTGAAGAGGCTGCAGCGAAGGGACAGAGTAGGCTGACTTCCATGGCGCTATGGGAATTACGCTTGCAGTATGAGAACAGTGGGTCGGCTCACAAGTGCTCTGTTTTTCCTTAGCTTCGTCCGCTAGCCTCGGCCATCTCGTCTATCTCATGCATGCCAATTCCTCCCATGGGCAGCCTATAGATACCCCTTTCCCCGAAATCCGACTGACATGTCGGCACTGCCAAGAGCAGCTTCGGAGAACCTGTCCAAAAATAGAGATATCCCTTTAAAGGCAGAAGGGCAATGCTCCGGTCTGCGATTTTTATGTTTCCTGATCTATTATTAAACATCTATAGTCCACGAAAATGCAGCCTCATGCGTTGGGCTATTGAAGCATTCGATTGGTAGGCTGTTTGTCCCGGGCGGAAGAGGGGGGTGGGGTGTCCTTACCACCACTAACTTGAAATAACTGATTCTTAGGCATCATTAGGTCTGTCGGCAATGAAGAAGAACGATAGGATCAAGCGAAGCCAATTTAAAGTGACGGATATAATCATATAACCATATACAATGCCGATTGAGGAAGACCTCGCCTACTCACAAGACAGTAATGAGTTGTCATTTGCAGATTAACGAGGAAGAAAGAAAACAAGAAGTATAAGAGTTCAAAAAACATTAAAACCCAAAGGAGAGGGGAGGGGAGGGGGGGGGGTTGAAGTTAGGTAAAGAGTCCCAGGAAAAAAAAAAAAAAAACACCCATCGCGCCATCTGTGGCCTCTGATCCTTCCTTCAGCTCCTTCAACCCAGTTGTTCAGCGTCTCTTTTCCCCCAGTGCCGATCTTCGCCATGCCCTAAGAAATGCGGAAGGTTGCAGCGCTTGTTTCGCTTGGTGCGGTCGGGGGCCTAGTCCCACTTACCCGAATCCTCAACTTCCGATCATAGATTATGAAGATCAACGGCCAGAAATGAAGAGTCAGTGGAAGTGGGACTTGGCCCTGGCTTTTTCGTGATGGGCACTGCGAGCTTTTCTGCGGTCCTTCAGTGTGAAGCTTTCGCCGTTGGTTGTTTCAAAGGCTGGGCTGACAACCGGTGGCTTGAGGAGGATGGATGCATGTGCCTCGCACTAAACCCTCTGCGTTGGAATTGTTTCTGCACAGAGGGGAAAGGATGTGGACCTGSGATGGGGGGGGGGGGGGGGGGGATGTAGAGTTCGCAAGAGGGGGTCTCTTTTTTTTTCTGGGTTTCCTGCCTGAGCCACCAGACTGAGTACCTTCGGATGTCATTTTTTTGTCTGCCGCGCAGAACTGGACCGGGCTTGGCTGTGGCTGCTAAGATTGCCTGGGCCCGGCTGCACGGCCAGACAGCAGGCACCTGGGACTCACCTGCCCGGGACCTATGAGCGAGCCAAATAAGAGCTTTTGTTTAAAGCTTACGGTGCTGTATGTGGACGTTCTATTCGGACTGATGGTCTGTTCTTTTGGCTATCTCTGTCTGATACGGTCTGCTGGCTACTACCGTGTTCACCCGAATAAAACGCCCGGTAATTATCGCTGCACCTGGACTGAAAGTTGTGCCAAATGCAGCTATTCTAACCGGGCGTTCTATTCAGGTGAAGACGGTAGCCCGGTAAGACTGTCTTTCTGGCTTCTTTGGTCCCCTGAAGCAGTTATGATGGCCAAGGGTGCAGTAGGGCTATTTCTTTCTTCCTTTCTTTCTTTGGGGTCTTCTGAAGCGATATCTGGCGCAAGGTCCTTGTTTTTTTTTTCAATTAAACTGACCAGAACAGATATCACTCTTGATCTTAGCCAAAAGGATGAGAAAGGTATTCCTGGTCTGGCCTGGTAATTGCCCGGAGGGGCTTGGATTTTGTCGGATCTTTTCAGAGAAAGTGGATTTTGTCGGATCTTTTCAGAGAAAGTGGCATTTTGGAGGGTCTGTTCTTCCGGTCGTCTTGACAT